CATTCATTCATTCATTCATCCATCTATCCATGCATCCATTTATGCATCCATCCATCCATCCATGCATGCATCCATCCATTCATCCATTCATCCATCCATCCATCCATGCATGCATCCATCCATCGTGGCCGGAGCTGCTAGCTCTCCAGCGTTCCTTCACCTGCACCAGCTGAGTGAAGCGAGCGTGCACGGGAGGACTCGCTGTTGCCGTTCTTAGAAATTTAAAGCGTTTGTCAAAAATTGTGTTTTAAATATGTAGAAAAAAAAACATATATAAGTCGCAGGACTGACAAATCTATGCAAAAACAACTGCGACTTATACACCGGAAAATACGGCGCATCAACACAAGTTTTAGCAAAGTTCTTTCAGCGGTTCGTGGCGTATGTTGCACACATTCCAGACACAGTCAGAGGTAAAAACATTATCACGCCTTTCAGTGGCCGGTGATTACGACATTTCTCAGAAGGTTTCCTGCTTTTAGTGATTCTGTTTATTAAGATCATGTTTGTGTTCAGGAAAGCTTGCCAGGGAGGAACTTCACGTTTTGGCAGTGGTTTGATGGAGTGATGGAACTCACAAAAAAACACCTCAAACCTCATTGGAATGACGGGTAAGAAAGCGTTTAAGGTTTTCTTTCGTTCGTTCGCCACTTTTTCACGTTTGGCTGTAAAACAGACACAATTTAAGGCCTACTCTTAACTTTCCAATGAATTTGTTTATTAATTATTAATTTTATAGCATTTCCTGTTTCCTGCTCTCGTTACGATGCACTAGCAATGGTTCGTTTATTTGATTTTACACGGCAGCCAGAGATGAAAAGCAGCCGTGAACGGGGATGGGGGTGTCAGAAATGTCCTTTCTATTTATATAGAACCCTCTTGTTGCAGAGCTATTCTGGGTTTTGTGAACAAGCAGCAGGCTCAGGATATGTTGATGTCCAAACCCAACGGTACTTTTCTTCTGCGCTTCAGCGACTCTGAGATCGGAGGCATTACAATCGCATGGGTGGCAGAAAATCAGAGCAAAGCAGGTACGATGTGCAAAAACGACAGAATTTGGACCTTTTTGTTTCTATTATTTTTAAACTTCATGGTTGTTGTTAAATCTGACCTAAAGCTACATGAGTGCGAGCAAACCGATTACAAAACTTTAACCACTTGGTCTGTTTTTTGTTTCGTGTACTTCCCTCAACTTGTTCCAGTTTGGGCAATTATTTTCAGTATTTAATTGGTGGCGGCAGCATCTGCCCAGAGCGGTGAAAACCCAACGACTCTTGAACAATTTTGTGTTTTAATTGTTTGGAATCCGACCGGCTTCAAAAAGTCCATCAGTTGTGGAGGTACAGGCAGTCATTATTTACACGCAGGTACGAGCAAAGACGTTATAGCTCTGCCTTTGCCTTCAGCGGCGGGCGATAATTATAACTAATTGGAGCTATAATGTCTTTTAATAAGTTTTATAACAAGATAACGTTAATTTCACGATTGCCTGCATACACGGCTGACGAGCACAGACGAGCTTTGAAAAAGTTTAGTTTGATCGTGTAAAGTGTTCATGAGTGGTCGGACTCCCACGAGCAGAGGACGCTGACCACACTCGTAAACGTTTTTCACTACAGTAGTCCCTCGATTATCACGGGGGTTACATCGTCTCCCCAGCGATGGCTGAAAAACCACACTCTGTATGTATTTATATTTATTAAGACTTTATAAACCCCACACTCTTGCGATGTTCTAAACTCTTAAACCTACATAATGTTAACATACGTACTGTACAGGGCTGCAGAGTAGTGATGTGCGGATCGATGCTAAAATATTGATACTATCGATTCCAGAACGTTCCGCTCAAGAATCGATGTTTAAATCAAACTCTCGATAGTTGTGATACTTCAGTCATTTCAGGTGATGCACGTCATCAACAGGAAGACGGTGGAAAGTAACTAAACTATTGAGATCTTGTCTAAATGATACGCGGTTGGAGGGAACTACTTTTTCTTCCACCTGAGTAAATGCGTTCCAGCGGCGCGGCACGCTGCTCGTCAGTCCGTAGACACAGCGGCGGAGTTGAACAGAGTCATGTGTGGAGTTATTTCAGCTCCAGAAACAGCCAAGAAGAGGTTTGTGGAAAATCTGTGAAGAGCCGTAGCAACACGACAAACCTTGTAAAACACTTCCTGTTAAATCACAACACAGAATATGAGGCAGTGATGAGGCGGACAGAGGAGGAGAGTCAGGTGCTGCTGCTCTGGAGGAGTCCCTCAGGGCTGCAGGACTATCCAGGTACAGGGAGAGGAAATGTGGAGCTTTCAGCAGAGCTAAGAACTGCTGCAGTTGGAGATGTTCAAATTAATGCATACGGTTATGAAATAATGAACAAAATAAATTCATGCGTCAATAAATAGTTGCGTGAGTTCAGTTTGGAGTAATAATATGTGCATCACTGAGATAATCTCACATGGGCAAAAAGCCCAGATTTATTCAGCTACGGTTTCCTAAAGAATTGATCATTTAAAGTGGATTACATGGACCAGGTGTCGTCAAATGATGCAGAACAGCCCTGGTGAACTCTGAAATATATATACTACAAACATGTGGATAAAATATAACATATTATCTTAAACATATCTCATTATTTAATAGATATTTAATAATTTATTTTAATAGTTTTATGATTTTTCTTTGTATTGTTTGAAAAAACATTTTCACATATTTAGTAAGTTTGTTTTATAAACTCAGACTAAATGAGGTCACTGCATCAACAAACTCCTGAGTTTAAAATAAATAAATTACTTTTCTTGCATTTTTTATGCAGCTTTGTTTTTAATACACTGCTTTTTTTAGGTTTACCGGACACGTTAGGCGTACTTGCAGAAAGTATCGGTATCGATACCGCCGATACTCACGTGAATTTTACCCGGTGTCGTATCGGACCAGAAAATCCTGGTACTGAACATCACTACTGCAAAGTTTTACTCACCAGCTCTGCAGACCAGCACCTCGGTTCTGGTTCAGCGGACCTACCCTGCAGCGCCCCGTCCAGGTTGATGTGCACGTGGATAAATGAGCTTCAGGATTATTTACAACTTTCCTGCCAGTTCTGTCGGCTTTATAGAGTATAGTATAGATGGAGTAGATTTGTGTTGCAAAACTTTCCCTCCTTTTCAGAAGAAAGCAGCGGCAGGAAGCACTGTTGGCTTCTGGGTAACGTAGTTCTTTGACTGGCCGTACAGTGTAGGCTTATTGAAAGAAAACTACAAAATGGCGGCACTTGTCCGAGGGAAACATTTTTTGTTAACTTTTTATTTCGTACCGTCCCAATGACTTGAGTAATATTAAAGTTGACAATCGTTGAAAAACCACGAAGAGCGAGTCCGGGAAAGTCGAACCGTGAAGTAGCGAGGGACTACTTTATCTCCTTAAAAGATTTTCTTTATCCTTGGAGGTGAGCTCGTTTTATTCATTAGGTGTTCAGCCTGGTGCCTGTGCATGGATGCTAACGTTATTCTGTTACCACAGGAGGAGTAAAGAAGCAGCTCCAACCGCCTCCTCCATTATTGTCAGCACTTGGGCACCATCTGGAATAAAAACCTGACTTTGTTATTTCTGGTCATTAAATGGAGTTTGCTGTGTTTGTAAAGGTGAAAGAATGGTTTGGAACCTCATGCCCTACACAACCAAAGACTTCTCCATCCGCTCTCTGGCCGACCGGATTAGCGATCTCAATCACCTCCTGTTCCTCTACCCCGACAGACCCAAAGATGAAGTTTTCTCCAAATATTACACCCCACCTCTTTGTAAGTGAAATCCTACAACATGCTGTGTGCAGATGCAAACGGTGACAAACCCTTAGAGCTAACAGCTTCCACGTGTTCTTGTTTCAAAGCTAAAGCTGTGGATGGGTATGTGAAACCGCAGATCAAGCAGGTGGTGCCTGAGTAAGTACCCGTCTTTCTGTCCAACCCTCCATTTCTGCTCTGTCTTCTCCACACCACTTCCTTTCTGCTCTTTGCATATTCTGGAGCAGCATTTAGAGTTAATCACTACACACCGGACCCTGAATTTAGATCTGCCATTAACCGGCTGTTAAAGTTGGAGGAGGCCAATTAGGGACGGCCGGGGTTCCTGCGGGAGCTCGTCTTCCACTCATCATTAGAGTTAGGCTCGTTAGTTAGCAGGCTGCGCCGCGGTGGGTTCGGCTGCAGGACAGAGCGGCTGTAATGATGCAGAACAGCCCGAGGAGCACGCTGAGCACGGTTGCTTAGGCAACAGCTGAACAAAGACTCGCAGGCTTTTAACCTAAGCTTACAACAGGTGTGTTTTGTGTGTGCAGCTTTGCTACGGCCAATCCAGACCCCATAGGCAGAACCCCAACGTATATGGATCACGGCGCCTCCCCAGGACCCGTAAATCACTCTCACACTTACGGCATCTACCAGACTATGTAAGTTATTTGAAGATACGATGTTCCTCTTCTTTGCCCGCTGGTCTAAGTGTCTGCGTTGTGTTTGTCGTGGCAGGACTGACCCGGTGTTGGACGGGGACGGGGACTTTGACCTCGACGACACCATGGACGTTGCGAGGCACGTGGAGGAGCTCCTCCGGAGGCCTGTAGAGAGCCAGTGGGGCGGCCAGCAGTCCTGACTCTTGACCCGTTCAGACGCCACCAAACAAGTCCTGCCCCCCTCACTTTGACATGGTTTAATTCCATTTCACCTGTTAACGTTTGTCTTTTCATTTAGCTATAATGTAAAACTGTTGGCCGTGATTTTATTTCCCCTTTCAGCATAAGAACATGCACGTCAGTGATTCTCCTGTCGTTTGTGTCCACGTGTGTTTGTAAAACAGACTCGATCCACTGCAGAACATACAATGTTACAGTATTGTGAAAAAAGAAAAGGAGAAATATTGTCCTTGAATTTGTTGTGCATGTATTTTCAATTGATTTAAACTCGTTTTGGGGGGAAAGAAATGCTACTGTACCATGTTATCTCTAGAGCTGAATGTTATTTTATATTCTCTGCTTTGTAAATTGGTTCCTATTTCGCTCGTGACACTGACCTTGCCCTTTTGACAAAAAAGAAAAACTTTAAAGCAGAGTTTTTGCTTTTGCTCTTACAAACCATATTCTAGTTCATTGCTTGTCCGTCATCCAGACGTTTATGCAGTACACTAACCTGACGGGCAGAGCGACTCGTTCTGCTCTCTGCACCCAACAGCACACGCATCCCAACACGGTACGCGAGCTTAAGACATCCGATTAGTTCACCAGCTGTAAAGGAGGGGAGCTTGTGCACCTCCCTTGCTCTCACAGGGCTATTTTTCTTCTGTTTGTACACAGAAATGCAAACCTAAGCATTTACCTAGCGCTGCCTGCTTATCCTCTCAGGTCCCACTGCTCCACTCATCGATGCTACCTCGCATTAGTCCACCGACAGCTGCTGTTAGCGCTGGTTCGCATGTTTTGTCCGCACCGTCCTCTCTTCAGTTGGTGGATGTCGTTCTGGTGATTCGCTTCGATACGTGTGAAGAAGATCCCTCTGTGCACGAGCTAACCGTTTCTGTGCTTGAAAACCACTCACATGAAGACATCCGGAGTCATGAAGTGTCTTACGTTTTGATTGGTATGCCTAAAAGTTCTGCCTAACGTTGATCCCGTGCTTGTGTAACACGATGACACTGTGGCAAAACAAGCATGTGCACGTCTCTGTGTGACGACACGAACAAGCACGTAGCGTAGACGCGGGTTTCAAAAACCTGCGGGAACTGTTGATCTGCTGCCACATTCTAACGTCTGATTGAGGTAGTTGGTGTTTTGTCTGACTTGTTGTGTGTTCAGACTGTGTGTGTGTGTGTGTGTGTGTGTGTGTGTGCGTGCGTGCGTGCGTGCGTGCGTGCATGTGTGTGTGTGTGTTCATACTCTTCGGTACACAGATCATAATTGTTCACAACAGTATTGCACCTCAGGAATGAATTGTTGCAGAAACAGTCGTACAAGCCAAAAAAAAAAAAAAAGCGGAGTTTTATGTAAACAGAAGAGAAAAGTTATTTTATCTGTTGTCGTGTTTGTGAATGAGGAGTTCCACGCTGCTCACTCGATGTGTGTGTGCGCTGAAGTACCAGCTGAAGGAGACGGAGCACTTGGCAATCAGAAGAGTTTTAGGATGTAGTTTTGTTTCCTCAGATGTTCAAATATCACAATATTTAAAATATTCACACATTTTTATTTGTTATATTCACTCTTGTGTTCTGGTGTCGCGATCCCGAGCCATGTGGGAGATTTAACGATGGATCCTTTCTCATCACGTCGGAGCTTCGTTCCACTGTAGACCGTGTATTTTTAATGGCGCTGCGTGTTTGTTGTACGTTACCATGTTTGTGGTTTGGGTTCGTCGCTTGGAGGTTTTCCAAGGAACATCTGTTGAGTTGAAAAGAATAAAATAAAAGTTTTATAAATAAACGGATGCCTTCGTTCGTTTTCTGCCAGGAGCGAGGTAAACTCTGGACAACTCATCAGACAAACACGGAGGATAAACAACCCTGCAAACCTTCACATGCATGTTGTCAGTTAACCCAGTGGTTCCCAACACTGGTCCTTGAGGAACACCATCCTGCATGTTTTTGTTTCGTGCTGCAACGCACCTGATTCAGTGATTTTAATTAGTTTCTCATGTTCTGCAGAAGCCTGTTAATCACCCATTAATTAAAATCAGGTGTGTCGAAGCAGAGAAACGACTAAAACATGCAGGATGGTGTTCCTCAAGGATCAGGGTTGGGAACCCCTAAGTTAACCTGATATACATGGAGTTGGCCTGAGTGAAACCCACTGACAGGGTGGGGTAGAATGTCACGAGTTTCTTTATGTGCAAACAACGCAGGTTGCAGGCAACTGTAAATTAAAGGCCCAACACTTCTCAAGTAAATGGATCATCGTTACAGATATTGTGCTAAAATATCCATAAAGTCACTTAGTTACAGCCTTTTTTATGGTTCAGGTCAGCTGGCTGTGGTGGCCATCTTGATTTGTGTAGACTCTAAAAGAAAATCACTTGTAGATGTAAGACATTAAAATCCTTCCACTGCTTCTTTGGATATTTTTGCTAAAGAAAAACGGACACGTCGCTGTATTTGGACTTGTTTTTGGAGGGGTACAAAATAATTTTGTGCCGTGATCATTTGCACGAGTAATCATCCAACACGTGGTTTTACCCTTTCACTTACACACATTAATTAAAAACACCTGTTTTGACATTTATGTCCCACTGCAATGTCATTTTTTTATATTCTAATCATACAAAAAAATCAATGAAATCTAATTTTTTATAAGTCAAAGCACTTTTCATAAAAAAATCGATCTAAATAAACATTTAATGAGTAAAATAGTCTTGATTATTAATTATTATTAATTATTAATTAATTATTTTGTTTTCCTTTAGAAAAGTTTGTGTTTTAAAAGCATAAAGTCTGAAGTTTCTCTGAGACCACAGTGATTTGGCCTCATGCAGTTTTCTCCATCTGGTGGAGGTTGGCAGCACTGCACGTGTTTATGTGTCTGAGCAGAAATTTAAATGTCTGTCACGTGCCTCATGCCATGCCTGAGAACATTTAAGAAATCTATCCTTCATGGGAATCTATAGGATGGGCCAGATCCTGCTGAAAGTGGTTTTCATTATCATGTTTTTTTAAAGTTCAGAGCTCTGAGAGATAAAAACTATGAAGTTGGAGTAAATGACTCCAGGCTTATTGTGCATCTTTAAATGTTCCCTCACTGGACCAACATGTCAAAGATTTAACAAAACCATGTTGGTCAGTGATGGTAATGAAGAGGGAGCAGCTCTGCTGGTTATGACTCGAACATTAATCTGCATCGATGAGCTTTAGAGTCAGAGCAAGTCTTGTTTGTGATGCAAGCTGACACCTTCAGGTTTTTCTTCTGCTGAAGCTCCTGAGTCAGAGCCACATGGACAGCATTCATTCACATTTAAACTGGATTTACGAGCACAGTGCTCCCAGTGTTTGAAATATGCAAGTGATGTCAGATGAGCTGGCTGTCAAACGTGCAGGAAATCAGTAGAAACGTGAATGTTCTGTTGAAATGCAGTGAATGCTGAGTGCTGAATGGTTTGGATGAAGAAGCTGAAGCTCAGCTGAAATATTTAAATAGTTGAGCAGTCAAATTCTGTTGTTTGTATAAGTTGTCTGTTTTTCAAGAGTTGAATTTATCCAAAGACTTCAGACTGAAGAAGTCTTTTGGATAAAAGACGAAACGTTTCAACAAAGAAGAACCCGTCCAGAGGACCTGACTCCAACTTGCTGAGACGGAAAGAAAAAGGCAAGAGATGGAAAAACAAATAAAGAAGCAAAAATAATAAAAATGCATACGGACACATGGCACAAAAAGAGACGAGGACGCACGAGGAGACAAAAGGATGCGGCACAACGCTTCAGGTGCCTCTGAAAATATGAGAGCATCGTGAAAAGTTCAATCATTTCACCAATCATTTCAAAAAGTGAAACTCGTATTCTACACACACTCCTACAGGTGTGCAGTGGAAAGCATCCTGTGCTCCAGCATCAATGTGTGGCATGGAGGCTGCACAGCTGCAGAAAGAAAAGCTTTGCAGAGAGTGGTGAAGGCTGCACAGAAGATGTTGGAGTCAGTCTCCCCACCATCACAGACATCTACACCTCCAGATGCAGGAAGAGGACCACCTGCATCATGAAGGACCTCACTCACCCAGCACACACAATTTTTGTCCCGCTCCCCTCAGGAAGGAGGTTGAGGAGCATTAAGTGTAGAACCACTAGACTGAGGAACAGCTTCTACCCTGAGGCTGTTAGACTCATGAATAATCACTGTGAAAAATCACTGTAATTCCACTTCGGTGCTGCTGATTATCACATGCTGCTGATCTCATGCTGCTGATTATCACATGCTGCTGTTTTTATTCATACCCAGACTCATGACCAGGCTGCACCATATTATTTTACATTATTATCTTAGATCTTTTAGCGTATTGTTTGGCGTTCGCTTAGCGTATATCTCAGTGAACAGCTTACATCCTTATATACTGTTTATTTTATACTTTATATTTAACACTGGGTACACAGTTTCGTTCCACCTCGTGTACCAAATGTGATGGAAATGACAATAAAATTGACTTGAACTTGATATATTACAGAGATTCTAAGTTCTAGATTTCCGAGTCACTAAATTTTGTTTCTTCATTCTCTGTAAGTCCTAATCATCAAAATTGTAAGAAATAAAAGCCTGAAATATGTCACTCTGTGTGTAATGAATCTATAAAATGTTAAGGACTGACAATTTTTAAAACCTTTTTCATGATGTTCTAATTGTTTGAGATGCACCTGTACATTCACAAAACGGACGTCTAAGAAGACGTAAAGAAGAATAAGAAAACCAACAAGTTGCAGAAAGAGACAAAAAGAACAGACATCGGTAAATATGTGACAAGCTTCTGTAAATATATATATATATATGCCGAATATGTTTTAACAGATTTATCACCATTCTAAAGAATAAGAAAATCTTTATTAGTATTAACAATATTATAGTTGCGGTTGTTAATATTATGCTTCTTTTAAAAAGTATTAAAGACACTTCAGCTGATGTTAATAGAAGCTTAAATTAATTGTTTGTTAGAAAAATGCTGCAAACAAATCAGGACGGTTCACTCTCGGCTCTGGAAGGGGCACACCAGGGCCCCCCACCAAGAACCCAAAGCTTCTGTTTAAAACCACTAGATGTCAGTAAAGGTCAATAAATCACACGAGATCACTTCCTGCTCACATTCAAAACATTATCCATGTTCTTTACATCAGGACTGCACCTTTATATTACTAACTATTAGTTAATATGGCTATAAACACTTAATTAATCATCAGTTAGCAGGCACGGTGCATTCGATGACAGGAGAATGTACCGGCTTGTTTCTTCATGAAGAGTGAAGCAACATGTCTGTACCCTCCAGACTCGCTGCTTATTATCATCATTCCTCATATTTTACATTTTAAAAACGAACCACTTGTCAGTAAATTCCTGAATCCGAGCACAAGGAGCATCTTTAAATACAAAGTTTGTTTCGGTAAATCCAGTTTACGTCAAAAGTAAGATGAACAAAAAAATGATCCGTTATGGATCGAGCTCATAATAATACATTGCTTTTAAATATCCAAATGAATTTTGTTAAAAGAGAAAGTTGTTATAATCGTAAGGGGATAGAGATGTTTGTGAAACCGAAATTCAGAAGTAGTTTGAAGGGACGGTCGACCTCAATCCAGGGAATTAGATTGTGGAATAATCTGGAGAGTGATGTTAAAAATGTCAAATCAATGCGTACATTTAAGAAAATGATCTAAGTTGAATTGTTAAAAAATATATGAAGTAGATTAATGTGTATTGTATGAATAGTTGTTCAAGAAGGAGTTATTTATTTTGTTTTGTTACGTGAAGATTATTATTGTTTGATTTAATTGTTTGGAAAAAAAAAAGGGGCAGATATAATAAGATTTCTTCTTTCTGCTGCCTTTCATTTTTATTTTTGATTGTTTTTTTATTGTTTATGGAATTGTAAATTTTATAAATAATTCAAATATTATATAAAGCCAAACCTACGACTGACAATGATGCAGCTCGCTTCAGTGTTTCACGGCTCTTAAAATGCAACATTTGCTTCATCTTCCAGGATGAGGATGGCGCCTTGCATCTCGTGATGCTCCATAAACAGCTAGACGTCGTCACGTCTGCTGTCTTCTCTTCAATTAACACACGTTTCTAAATTCTGATCAGCATCCTTCTTTTCTGCCACCATCATACTGCGGTCAGTAGATCTGTGTCTTCAGCTGAGGTAGGTCTGTGAGAAATATATGAGCCGCGCACACTAAATTTAAAAATGCAACTATTTTCTACACATTTATGCTGCGCTTGTATAACCCGTGAAATATTTACACAGACATGTTTTTTAAACTTCTAAATAAATACGGTAACAAAAAATGTTTTGTAAGCTCAGTT